ATTAAGTATTTTTTTAACGGGGGAAATCATCGAATGACTTCTTCCGCCTGGGTGAGGCGGGAGGGAGTGTCAGACTCTTACTGACTAAAAACCACCCCGTTCCTACTCCTGCACTTCGAGCTGGAGCCCCGATAACCCGTTATGTTCTCCGCGGCTCCGTATCGGCATCAGCCCTATTGGGCTCCATCCGTGGTGGTCTGATGGCTCTTTGATGCGCTCGCGGAACTGGCTCGGGTCTGGTTCTGGTCAGGCGGCGAGCCACGCATGCTCGCCGTCCGCAGGCCCGCGCTTACGGTGGCCGGAGATCAACTCGCGATCCGCGACACCCGGAGTATCCTTCGCGACGGCTGGGTTGTGAGGAGGCAGGGCTTCGCTGCCTCATGCACCCCGACTCCTCCTTAGCTACCATGAATGATTGGCAAAAGGAGGAGACGGCATCCCAGTCCCTCACGCTCCGCATCATGACCCAAAACTTGATTAAGTATAAAGTTATAAAATGCAATAGGTAGGTACTAAGCTTCAAAATAGTTTAAGTTGCAAGAGACGGAGTAAATTACTGCCTAAAGTGGATTTGGTTATCGGAATTTCCCCAACCTCGGGGGGCCAAACGCCTCCTGCCGGAGGTTATACGCCGGGGTCGTGCGGTCCATGGCCCTCTACGGCGCCCCTGTTTGGGCGCCAAACCTGTTGCGGCGTCCCGCTCGGACGCTGCTCATGGCACAGAGGGTCATGGCGATCCGAATGATCCGCGGATACCGCACGATCTCTGGGGAGTCGGCGAACCTCCTTGCCGGATTACCGCCGTGGGATCTGGAGGCGAAGGTGCTCGCGCGCGTGCACAGCATGCGCGCGGAGGCACGTCGCCGGGGCGAAACTCCGCTGCCGCGCCAGATAAGTGCGTGGCGGGATGAGCTCCGGCGCGATCTCATGGCGGAATGGCAGCAACGACTGTCGCAACCGAGGGCTGGGCTCGCTGCCATCGCAGCGGTAAGTCCCCTCTTTGAGGAGTGGCTTGAGAGACGCTACGGCGTCCTCACCTACCGCCTGACGCAGGTCCTCACCGGACATGGAAGTTTCGGGAGGTACCTGTGTCTGATGGGGCGGGAGGAAACGCCCGGGTGTCATCACTGCGAGGACCGCCCTGAGGACACGGTGGAACACACGGTGGGAGAATGCCCTTCGTGGGCTGAGCACCGCCGTGTCCTCAGGGAAGTGATCGGCGATGGCGACCTCTCGCGTCCGGGCCTAGTGCAGGCCATGATGCGGAGCGAGGGGGATTGGGATGCCGTCTCCTCCTTTTGCGAAGCAGTCATGCTAGCTAAGGAGGAGGCGGGACGCGTGAGGCAGCGAAGCGCTGCCTCCTCGCAACCCAGCCATCGCGAAGGACACACCGGGCGTCGGGGATCGCGGGACGATCTCCGGCCACCGTAAGCGCGGGCCTGCGGACGGCGAGCATGGGTGGCTCCCCGTCCGACCAGAAACAGACCCGAGCGTACGGCGCGTCGCGTTCCGCGCGCGCCTCAAAGAGCCATCAGACCACCACAGATGGGGCCCAATAGGGCCGATGCCGATTCGGAGTCGCGGAGAACCTAACGGGTAACCGGGGCTCCGGCTCGACGTGCAGGAGAAGGAACGGGGTGGTTTTTAGTCAGTAAGAGTCTGACACTCCCTCCCGCCTCACCCAGGCGGGGGCAGTCATTCGATGATTTTCCCCCCTTAAAAAAAAAAAAAAAAAAAAAGCCTTGCGAAGGCAAACCATCGTTCATGTATGTATAAGAAAACTCCTGATAAAAGCAATGTTTGCAGAGGATAGTCTTCATAAATAGAGATGTTCAATTACATAATTATCATTATGTAGTTATGTCTAAGAGATATGCAAAACAAATATATAAATATAAAGACATTCAATTAAACTTTACTAAAACATCAAAATCTTATTAAATTTAATTTATTTCAACGATAAAATTAGTATTTGTTTCCACGAAAAAATCATTAAGAAGAGAAATTTGTCACGTATCGGAACTCTGCAATCAGATAAGCCTCACAATCTAGACCAAACCAAAGCAAACTTCCAAATGGCGCTGATAACCCGAACACAGCTTTCGAAATTCGGTTCTGACAAAGGGAGCAAGTTAGTAGGAACTCGCTGTACCTACCTATACCTATTCGAACTACGGAAACTTATAAGTAGGAAGGTATATAAGGTTAGATGGTAAGTGATTAAGGCCGAATAATAGGTACCTTGGTCTCTTAACTTCAAAAGAGATCGTACTTACATAATTTTGGATCATTTATAAACGACTATCACTATGTTTTTTTATAATGTGCTTTCAAAACTTGGGGCATAACATGCGCATTGCCAACCCTTAAGAAACCTATTCACTACCCTCTTGAAGAACCCCATGTTGTAGCCCACTGGAAAATCCACGGCAGGGAGTTCATTCTACAATCGGACTATAAATAACACTTGTTTAAGTTTAGACTTAAATTAGGTTATAGTAATTAGGTATAAACATAATTGGGTACTATTCAAATTCAATACTTTTTCGAACTGTCAAAAACAGTTTTCTATGAATTTTGTACGAGATTGTGTATTGTGAGGTCACGTTTTTTTAGCGTTAAACAGTAGGTACAATTATTTCTTAAAAAATTGCTAGAAAAATACAAAAATTAGGTTGATTATAAAATCAATAATTGAAACGAAAGTGTGATATTTTTTCAAATTTTATTGTATTGAACAGTCGAAATAATTTATTGTTGACTAAGGAAAGTACCCAATCATGGAAGTGTATACGAAAACTCTCTGAAACGAATTTTCAAATTTATTTTAAGTTCCTAGAGTAAATTAAAGTCTTTGTGTTTGATGAAATGATTTTAGAAAACTGATCATATAAATATCATCATCATAGTAACGTTTAAAAGTAAACTTTCCAACTGAACCATGCTTTACAGCTTATCGTTTAGCAAAGTCACCTATTTAATCCACAAAACATTTATTAAGCCCTGTTGAGAGTGCGTTATTGAAAATTTTGCTGACTACGAGCTCATTCAAGGGGAAAAGTCGAAATCATTAATTATTCCCCTAATAAATTATTCTAATCTCATGCAACATGGTGCAAATCCATATCAACGAACGTGGAAAAACCACTGTTCCTAATCCATGTTAGATATAATACCTTTATGTTATTCATAGGTACTGTCCTTGATAACATTGTATTAAGTTGGTAACTTGGTAGAGATAAATACTGTAATAATGTCACAAGGTAGGTACCTATATAAAAACTTGGTACATCACACTAATATTATAAATGCTTGGATGTATGTCCTTTAATCACGCTGAAACTACCGAACGGCTGACTTAGGCGATAAGAAACTTTTATCCCGAATAAATGATGGATAAAACAGGAATAGGTACACGGCTTTGCCCCCGGGGGTAAAAGCTAGTATTGTATAAATTATAAATACAGATATTTACCTACCTGAAATTCTTAGGATACGACATTCTAGTTAGATATTGGTTGCACTAGTCGCTCTTGATTACCTAGCTACTCTCGATCACTAAGGTAGGTAGTAATCATAAATAATATTTACATGCTTGATTAAGTTCCTTTTAAACTTAAGTCGGTATACAAACTGAATAACTACTTAATAACCTCAATATTTTATTAAATTGGAATTGTGCCCGGTATACGGCAATAGGCTCATCCTGTACGTACCAAGTACATGGGACTTATAACATAAATAGAAAAGTAGATGTTACATTGTACAGTCGCATTAAGTACCGTAGATAATGTGCGCCTACACCCTCGGGGATAAAAGGCGTGATGTCATGTTATGTTTTTATTTTTACCGACTTCACAAAAAAGGAGGAGGTACTATATTCGGTTGATTGTTTTTTTTTTATATTAAACATTTCTAATTATAACTTTCTAGCCTATCGACAGATAATGAAATCAAAATTAAATTAGTTGTAATTACGATAATTTATAATATAATTTAATTTTTATTATGACAAAACTAGCCCACGACTTCGTAAATCGCGCGATCTCGTTTTCTCCCGTGCCCGTAGGATTTTCAGGATTTTTTCTGTCTTATGAACCTTTTCCTAAGAATAACAAATAGGTACAACAAAAACAAAATTAGTGAAATGTGTCCAGCCATTCACGCGTGATGCCGTGACCAAGGCAAAAAGGGATTCGAAAAATGCTTTTGAAGTAAGGAATAACATTATTCTTTATTCTAGTAGGTATTGTATTGTAAAAACCTAAAAAGTAAATTGCAAAAATGTTTTGACCATTGACGCTGTTAAAAACGCCCTCTCTTGACTTAATTTTGAAATCAAATGGTCTTGAAATATTTTCGATAGATGTCACGATATCAAGGCTTGGTTGTTAAACATATATAATTTCCCACCTAAGCAGAGATACTAGAGACAGCAATTAGCGTTTCATAACGCCAATTGTTACGATTCTTATCTACCTCTTTCGCTTCCTCGTTATATCGTTTTTTATTCTAGGTAATGCAAAATTATACATAATACAGTGTAACTTGGTGTAACCCGATAATAGCCTAACACAACTGTGATTACAACTACCTACATACATATATTGTTAATTTATGAAATGGACCTTGGAAAATACTGATTGACTCAAAAGAACTTAAAAAATTCACTGAGCAAGCAGTGGGATCAATTATCAATGCCATAATTTTATTATATTCTACAAGAATTTTGATTAATTACATCTATTAATCTTAATTTGACGAATGAATTGTAATGGCCTCGATTTTCAGCTTTCTTCCATATTTTTTTTAATTACTACCTATCGTATATTATTTATGTCTATCATATATACTTGTCAAATCTTGCATAAATAATAGTAATAATTATGGCGCCACAAAATGATTTAAAAAAAAATTACATGTTAGTTGCGATGAGTGGCTCAAATGACTTGGCTTCGTTTTGCTACAAGCAGAATAAAAAAATCGATTCAAGAATTTGGCATGCATGGCATGGTTTACCGATTGCCGGCTGTTAGTTAGTGTGTCAATTTTCAGCGATAAAAAGAAAGTGTAAAATAAATAAAATTAATAATGTATCAAAGAATTCAATAATTAAAGTCAGTTGATTTAGCTATTGAAAAGTGGTTCATTATTATTCAACTTCTGACGATTATTGTATAGTTGTCATACAAGATGTGTCAGTTGATGTTTTACATCGTTTCAATATTTTCTGTTTTAAAAAGTGCGACTGGCTTAGGGGAAATAATTTACGCGATCAATGCAGGCGGTCCGTCCCACACGGACATCTATGGCATACACTATGAAAAGGACCCTCTACAAGGAAGAATAGGCACGGCTTCTGATTATGGTAAACAACTGGTTATGATCGGTAGAGTTAACACAAAAGATGAAATATTGTATCAAACTGAGCGATATCACCACAGCACGTTTGGCTACGATATTCCTGCGAACAGAGACGGCGACTATGTCCTTGTGCTTAAGTTCAGTGAAGTGTACTTCAATGCCCCTAACATGAAAGTATTTGACGTGGTTTTAAACGGAGATCATACCATTGTAGCGGACTTGGACATTTTTGACAAAGTAGGTCGTGGTGTCGCACATGACGAGTATATCCCTTACTCAATTAAAAATGGTAAATTGTATTACAATGAGGAAGAGTCTGACATAAGAGGTGGGAAAATAAAGGTAGAATTCATTAAGGGATACAGAGATAATCCTAAAATCAATGCATTGTATGTGATGAGAGGCACAATTGATGAAGTGCCTAAACTGCCCCCATTGGTGTGGCCAGAAAATGAAACTGAAGAACCGAGAGATGAAGTAGAAGAAAAGAGTTCTAAGTCAAAGCGTGCCAGTGGCCCTAAACAACCTGATCCATACTCTATGGACGAGAGTTCAGTGCTGATCCCAGTTTTTATAACTATAGGTGCTTTCATTCCACTTTTATTCTGCCTCTGTAAACTATAATCTGTGCGATTATACTTTAATACTGTAATATAATATAATTTTGGTGTGATTGTATGCTGTTTAGTATATATTTATTTATTGTGGGTATTATTTCATTTCAATAACTTTTATTGACATTATTTTAAAGCACTTGATATCAAAGCTCAACGGTGATAGTACAAAGCCAACAAATGCAAAATACTAGTACCCGTCCCATGTTGAAATATTAATAATATTCTACATTATGCGCACACATTATGTGCTGATCATATGCACTTTATGTAAATAAATAACTTGAGTTTATTTTGCAACACATGTTTTCTTCCTTAATCAACCTCGTGTACTGTTACATTCCCTATTTTAATAATAATAATTAATTAATTTTGTGTGCCTGTATGAAAAAGTAATTTCTTTAACATTGTGTACCATGTTCTAATGTTGCAACATTAAAACTTATATTTGTTTCAATAGTATAAATTGTTGACTTTTTGGGAGAAAATGGTGATAAAATCTTGTTTGTGTTGGATTGATGAAATAAATTACAACTATAAATAAAAAAAATATTATTTTTATTGTTGACAGTCTCACATATTGGTAGTGTTATTTTCTACATTATAAATAACATTAATCCATCCAAGGAAAATTTATGAGTCTTAAAAGTATTTCTAATTAATACCTTACTTTTAGAAGACTTTAGAGACTATAAAGACACTCCTAAGGTGTCGCGGAGAACCTAACGGGTAACCGGGGCTCCGGCTCGACGTGCAGGAGAAGGAACGGGGTGGTTTTTAGTCAGTAAGAGTGACACTCCCTCCCGCCTCACCCAGGCGGGAGCAGTCATTCGATAATTTTCACCCCTTAAAAACAAAAAAAAAGGACACTCCTAAGGTCTCTAAAATCTAAAGTAAATTTTCGTTGTAATAATATAGATCTTCAATCAGTCTTGAGATTCTCCAAACTGTCTACCTATTTTAATTTTTTGAGCGAGTTTTACGATTCTACGTAATCTGAAAAAAGAACAAAATTTTAATTAATTAAAAATAATTTTTGTATGTTCAGTATGTTACTATGTTATCTTAGTCACGTTAAGAATTTCGTCAGGTATAGTATGTCCCTGACTATAATTTATTATTTTATTTATTTTAATGCCAGGTTTCCCAACCTGGCATCATAATTCAAGTGCACGAATACCTAAGTAGTTACGTGGGTATGTACTGGTAGGTAGTTAGGTACACTGTTTTGTCGACAACAATAACGTGCTGCGATTATTAATTGTCTCGTATATACCGCACAGTTATTTACTATATATATACTTATAAAAAGGCTATAAATACAACAGATGCACCTGCGTTTGCCCTATATAAAAAGGTCAAACCTATAATTTTACTTTAGAAGCTAACTATATTTTTAATTAACAGCTAGTCATAGTGTGCTATGCATAACGTTTCAAACACTAAAAAAACACTCACGCATTCGATGTGCCATGCACTTTATATTCACATTTTCCATCATTATTCTGAACAAATCCCCTTCTGCATTTATTTGCTATTGGTAAAGCAGTGGTGATATTTGCCTTATTTGAAGAATCTGGAGCTATTGTCGTGAGGATATCCGCTGTCGCCTGAGGTGTAGTGACAACATTATTGTTTACGGGCTGGTTAGGAGCTGCTTCGGTTACTTCGACAGCAACACCAGTACTACTCCTTATACCTTCTGTAGTCTGTTCTAATAATACTGTTGTAGAAATCGTTGTGTTTGCATTTAACGGTTTTGGTGTTGTACCGTTTTGCGGTTTTATCGTCATTTCCGAGTAATCGTAAGCGTAGTCGTAGTCCTGCAAAATTAAGTGATAAGCACCATGAAATGTTGCTGTATTACGTGGATTAATTGATAAACTCGTATGGACGTAAATTCATTTAGGTACTAACTATACTATGAACAATACTGAAACAGCTTTACAGCTCTTTATCTCGTAATAATTTAATAGTACCTACTCTGTTTGAACCATCACCAATTAAAATGTTTACCCGTGCATTATGTACGTACCACGTATTCCTCTTTTCCTCCTTTTAGTAACGCTATGATGTTTATGTTTTTCAAACCAATTTGCACATTTAAATCTCCCGTTTGTCTTTGATCGAAACTGGAGGTGCAATCTGTTGTCCGCACTAAAATAGAGCACAATGTCAAACCGAGAGCTAATACTTTACACATTTCTGGTGATAAATTAAGTACGAGTGTGGCGATGAGATAGGAATTGCGATCGAGTCCCGTGGTCATGCGCGACTGGTCTGAGCCACCGGTTGCCCTGTTCACAGCTTAACATAAAGTTATTTCCAACAGCTTAACAGTTATTTCAAGTAACTGTGGGAAGGTCGATAGCCTCCTACGGTGCATTGCGTCTTCAGATTGCGTAAGGATAGCAGATCCGAAGCGTTTACTTAATAATTTATTTTATGAACATGGTCAAGTTCTAGGTGATATAGGAAGTAACAAAATTAATTTATAGTATTGAGGTTCTTACCTACATAATTATTTTCTTACTAAGTAATGAATGCGAAAGTTTTTATTTGTAATTTTGTATGTTTGTTACTCAATTACGTAAAACGACTGAAGGTATCGGGATAAAATTTGGAATAATGGTAGATTATGGTCTGGAATAACATAAAGGCTATTTTTATTCTACGGGAACGCGGCTGAAGCCGCAGGCAGAAGCTACTTATGTAATAATATTGTCCAAGTATTTTATTGCTTATATCATTTTTACGTTAGCGTTTACACCTATATCTGCGTATTGAATTGAAACTATTGTCAACTATTATTTATTCACTTACAAACATTACGTTGCTTCACGGTATTGTTGTTTACCTAACTGTATTTCTAACATATCTAGATTTTCAAGCAGGAAGGAAAACATTATTATATTAGTTGCCTTTATAATAATTATTTTTGTCCGTGCCTAATTAGGTAGGTACCTACCTACTTGCAATCGTTCATTAGGCGAGCGATCGCAAGCGTAACTTTCCTCCAAGAGAAAGGTCTCGAGTTCGATTGCTCAGATAATCTATATTTTAAATGGTAAAGGAACACAATAGATTTGCACCTTCTTCATCATATTCAGCCCGTGTTTGTCCACTGCTGGACATAGGCCTCTCCAATGGCACTCTCCTGAGATCGATGTTCAGCTTTTCTGATCTAACCACTGCCAGCCACCTTGCAGATATCATCACTCCACCTAGCTGGAGGACGCCCTACACTAATCTGTTTGTACCTTGTGAACTTGTGATCTTGCTCCTGGCAAAAATGTGTGATAACAGTAACAATACCTTCAAGGAATAAAGGCATGTTATTATTATGTCATGTTTCGTTACAATAATATTATTTTTTAATCCTAGAATAACTCCATCTCTATAACAAGTTTGATGTTCTTTAAAACACAATATAATAAGTAGGTATTCATAATTATTTTTTGTTCTTGATATCAAAATCATTTCTTAGTTTTATTACTGCCGATAAAGACTGTAACCGATGTAAATACTTACACTACACTATGAAAATTTTATTGTTTTACGCTTCAGCGTATTAAAACCGAATAACATAACTACCTAATATCTATCCTTCGTTGATGTCGAATGAACAACACTAGGAACCTATCTGGTTCCTAATTTAATAATAAACTAATCCTTACGCCTCTCATTTGTCAATAGGCAATAGTCAACAGGTAAGTTTAAAGTTAACTCGTCGAGTACCGGTTTTGTAGACACAATTATAGAACAATAGGTTGCGGTCACCGGTGACCGCTTAGTGTTTGACAGTTTAATTAAGCTAAAGTACGATAAATTCAATGTGAAAAATGACGATAATTTAAAGGACATAAAATTATTTATAAGCCTGACCCGGTTAAAAGAGAATTATTGGTGTAGGTAGTGGCTACTGAAACAACTGTTTAATTAAATATTCGGCCCAAAGAAACACCCACCTAGACTTACGTTTATAAATGAACTAGTGACCCGCCCCGGCTTCGCACGGGTGCAATATGCATGTATTATACATACAAACCTTCCTTAAGAATCACTCTATCTATTAAAAAAACCGCATCAAAATCCGTTGCGTAGTTTTAAAGATCTAAGCATACATACGGACATACAGCGAAAGCGACTTTGTTTTATACTATGTATTGACTAAGTACTTACCTAATAATAAATAGGTATACTTATAGTTTCAATAATAAATCCGTAAATGAAACAGCTAAGACAAAATGCATGTGTTATAAAACAGTAGGTACGAATATTTTCTGAATACCTACCAAGTTAGTGTTTTTTTCGCTCAATGTGTGTACCTTACCTACACTGAGTGCAGTAGATAAGCATCTACCTATAGCATCCACGTTACAGTGTTAGTACATTCACACAATCATGTTAAAATGCTTAATAAGAAAAAAAGCTAAGAAAAAAGAAGCTACATATACTTTGTATCCGAATGCTGTTTTCTCACGATGCTTACAGCTATCTCAATTTCATACCCACACCCATACCCATACCACAGATTACTTTAGTTACTACGTAACCCATACCCACAAAGACAGACCATAGGCAAACAGAATGTAAAATATTAAAACTTTATTTGCATATCGAATTACCGTGAAGTTTGGGTCGATGCCTTTATCGAAATGTAATAATGGTCGTCATTTTCTTATCATCTTGTGGAAGTATTTACTTATTTTTCAATTCTTTAAATTATTTAATTCTATCTATTTTTTAAATTATTTTTGAGTAGGTACCTATCAGGCTCCGGTTTCCTACCAGAAGTTAAGGTGAATGTTCCAGGGCAGAACGCGAATTTTAATTTTTCGTAAGGATTTTGCGATTTACAGCTATCGTATAAAATAATAGTAAAATATAATTATGTGTTTTCACAATTGTATTTATTATCTTATAACTCTACTCAGAGAAGTTCTACAACGTTAAGTTTTTACTACAATGGTGCCTACATTGTAAAACTTCATTACTTTACTAAATTACGGAGCTAGATGGATGGTTTTTTTAAATTATTAACCAAACATATACAAATTTGAATTTCGCGGGACATGCACAATTGAAGACTAAAAACTTGCTTTTTTTTCTTTTATAGATAAACGATTTGATAATTCGGTACGCCTGCCTGCACTTTACAAATGACTGATTTGAGTACGTCATTAAAGACACAATTAAAGAACAATAGGTTGCAGTCATCGGTGTCCTCGCGGTGTCTGACAGTTTAAATATTTTGAAATGAAATTTTAACTTTAAGAAATATCTAAGTATGATACTTAAAAAAACACATATTATTATGTATTTTTATTTAAATGTATTTTGATTCTGATACCATACAACTTATAATAAAATCACAATTTAGTCTAAAATCGTAATTCTTAAAAGACAATGTACCACGTCTGTTTAAAAGAACAAAACATCAACAATAGTGATTTTCTTTGACGTTTTCTGCACTGACTTACTTGACATTTGTAATGTAAACGTAATCCAGTACTCGTACATAAACAAATTGTTTTCATTTTTCTTATTATTGTTTACGCTTATGCTCATAAAACGCACTTATGAAGAGCTTACGTAGGTTACTTCTGCAGTTTTACATAGCACCAATAGACACGTATAACGAAGAACTTATACGAAAATGATTAAGTTCTGGAAAAGTGCAGGTAAAGTGTTCTGTAATGATCAGAGTAATCTTCACTAGTTTAGCCGTCGCCCTTTTACATCATTCATGTAACTACGTGGTGTATACGTTTAATCATTTTCATTCATTTTAGCAAAAGGTAAAACCGGGTGTCCAGTACGTCCACCAGAAGTAAAATCCGTTAGTACACCAGATATCAAAAGTTTAATTAATACGCAAATACTACTAGAAGAAAATGAAGGTAAGTACATGATATAAACAAATAAATTAACTATCGTGTGATAGTATTATTAAGAAGTGTGATACTGTATTCCAGATCCCAAACAAATGTTTGAGAAGAGTTCTAAGTTGTCTCTAAGTGTAAATGATATTATATTTGAAAAGAAGGCACTTAAATATTTTATACAATACATGGAATCAATAGGAAAACCTGCCCTCATTAAATGTTTGTTGGAAATAGAAGAATTCCGGAAACATCTACTGAACTCGACTAACACCACTGAAACTGGGAATTTATCAAAAATTAATCGTACTCAAAGTTTAGATCTTCCATACAAGCATGAATGGAAACAAGACAAAGATATTAAGTCACAAAAGTGCAACTGGAGAGAAAATAATGATGTGTTCACAATGACGAGTAATGCACGCTTTAATGAATGTTCAATGAGTTCCTGCAGCAACTTATCTGAACATGACACATCTGCGCACTCAAAGTCATCCAGTGACAACAAGCAGCTCCAGTGGGACTACACTGAGGAAGCCGTAGCTATATTTAAGAAATATGTTGCTTTAGAAGCCCCATACCAATTGGATTTACCAGATAGTTATAGAAAATCTGTAATCTCAAATATCTGTCAACCTGAGGGACAGATACAAGAAAACTGCTTTAAACCAGTGCAAGAAGTTCTAATTAGCCAAATAGAAAATAATCACTACAATGATTTCATAAACAGCCCCTTTTACATCAAAGCACAAATTGACATTTTGACCAGTGGCTCTCTAAATCTTAAAGACATTTTACATAATGAAACAATTTTGTTTTACTTCACAGAATTTTTGGAACAAGAGTCCTGCAGGGTATTATTAGAATTTTTAATGGCTGTCATGCACTTCCGAGATAATTTATTGAACGGATGCACAACAAGCTCTGACCAAGCTCAGGCAGATGCTATATCTATTTATGAGAAATACTTTTCTCTCCAAGCTACACATCCTATTGGATTTCCAACTGAGACTAGACTAAGAATTGAAAGTGATATATGCAGAGAGGGGGGTCCACTTCCAACATGTTTTGATTTGCCTTATCAAATTGTGTTTAAAACATTGACTCAATATGTTAAAACATTCCTAGAATCAGAGTTGTATTTCAAATACCTCTCAGAGATGATTCATTCAGTTGACAACATGTGGTCCTCTCATCATAAATCACATTCCGATTGCAGCAGTGAATTTAGTATTAGTACTCAAAATACTCTCCTTGCAATGGGAGACCCAGTCTTCCGGAAGAAGAAACGCAATCTCTCTGTACCTGACATGACTATAGACTCTAATCAACTGTATAATGCTGATGCTTTGTGGCAGCGAAACAGACCAGATGGTTTAAATCTTGGAAGAGTGAATAGTTTAGGCAGATTCGAATCTAAATTTGAGCCTGATCCAGACAAAAAGGACAAATCTGTATTAAAGAAAATGGTGAGCCGGTTTGTACCTAGCAATACTTCTAAAGTGGAAGAAGAAATGGCGTGGCAGATAGCACATATGATTGTTAAAGATATTACAGATCTAACCATGGCCCCACCTGATAATGAG